TGCTCTGTCTATTACGAAACTGCAACAGCAGACGCGCATGGAGTCGTATCAACGGTCTAGAGAAAACGCCCGCTTCGAAGAGGAGCGAAGAAATGTCGGTCACCTCAACTGGAGTGTAGAGGACTACCCAGACTGGCTCCTGCTCGAGATCGAATCAAATATTCTCATCCGCGAGACGCAGGTGGAAGTCGCACTGGCCATAATTGCACCCGAATCAGGACAATCCAGTGTCCTTCAGCTCAATATGGGCCAGGGGAAAACGTCGTGCATCATTCCCATGGTAGCTGTGATGCTTGCCGATAGCAAGAACCTTGTCAGGGTCTCTGTTCCTAAAGCCCTTCTTCAACAGACGGCACAATTACTCCATGGGCGTCTCGGTGGTCTGATAGGCAGGGAGCTCGGCCACGTACCATTTTCTCGACGAACATCCACGAAGGAAGACCACATAAAGCTATTTCAAAGGATACATCATGACATCAAGAGAAAACGTGGGGTCATGATCTGTCTACCAGAACATCAAATGTCTTTCAAGCTAAGCGGTCTCCAGCGTGTCCTAGACCAGCGGATTCCTGAAGCTAATATGATGGTCCGCGTACAAGAGTGGCTTAAAGCATGTGCGCGAGATGTGTTGGACGAGAGTGATCATACACTAGCTGTGAAAACGCAACTAATTTACCCCTCCGGGTCGCAAATGTCTGTTGATGGTCATCCCCATCGTTGGCTAATGGCTGAGCAGATACTCCATCTAGTAGACATGCATCTGTATGATCTAGCACTAGGGTTTCCGCACTCGATCGAAGTTGTGAGACGCCCACAAGGGGGTTTCCCTTTTGTATTTTTTCTCCGTCCGGATGTGGAAGAGGAACTGATCCGTCGCTTAACGTTTGACGTTTGTCGAGGCACAAGGGGTATCATCCCCGTTGACACCCTTGACCAAGCAGATCGCTTGGCCATCAAGGAGTTTCTGTCGGGGGGTAAAGTCAGACAGTCCAGTCTCGATCGTATCGGCCGTTTGTGTCCTGATCGGCCTCACATCCGGCAGTGTGTCTACCTGCTCCGCGGGCTTTTTGTTCATCGAATCTTGATCATGACTCTGAAGAAAAGATACGGAGTACAGTATGGCCTTCATCCTTTGAGAGACCCAGTCGCGGTCCCTTTCCATGCAAAGGGTGTTCCAAGCGAACAGTCCGAATTTGGACATGTTGATGTAAGTTGAGTGTTACATATAAGCCGAGTCATCTGTTTATCATGAGCTCGACATAGAATTAGCCAGGTACTGATATTGAATAGGTGGCCATATTACTTACTGCATTGGCATTTTACTATTGTGGAATCAACTTGACGCAAACCCGCCAGGCCTTAGAAGCCGTGTTGAAATCGGACGATCCCACCTCAGAATACGATAAATGGGTTGAAGATGAAGGCTTTCCGGATTATTTGAAAGACTGGCATTCAATCAACGTCGACGATTCGCAGCAGATGACTCAAATATGGAACTGCGTCCGGTACAAGGTTGCGGTCATTGACTATTACATCAACAACTTTGTTTTCCCCCCTCATGCCAAGCAGTTCAAGATCCGCCTGCAATCTAGTGGTTGGGACATACCGCTATTCTCAAGCTCGAGGGAGGACGGGCTAGTGAAGAGCAGCTTACGGGACAGAGCGAAGGGACTTACAACCGGATTCTCTGGTGAGCGATCATAGTTTCTTATCTTCCTATCACTCACAACTTTGTCAACGCTTAGGCTTTTGATCCGTTTTGTTCGATTCGCTAAATGTCAGAGCGAACGTGGATTACTAACAGGGTACTTTACAATAGGAACAAATGATATTAAGCCCCTTTTACCTTTGACCATCAAGCAAGACGATTTGCCATCACTATCGCATACGAATGCAGAAGTCCTTATCTACCTCTTGCAGCACCGATCTAGAAAGTATGTGGTTATGGCTGACTCAACCCAGAGGCGATTGACGGAAGAGGATTTCCTGCACTTGCTGAGAAGATGCAATATACGTGTCTTGATCGATGCGGGAGCGCAAATTCTTGAGCAGTCCAATCTTGAATTGGCCCAGAACTGGTTGAAAGTGGATGGTCGAGCGACAGTGGCATTGTACTTCCAAGACGACAAGCCATACATTGTCTCTAAACAGGGCGCGAGGACTCCTCTTCTGGCATCTCCCTATGCAGATAATCTAAGAGAAGTCCTTGTGTATCTGGATGAGGTACGTATCCGCCTAGCACAACATCATGGGCAAAGCTAATTTTCTGAATAGGCCCATACGCGTGGGACAGATCTCAAATTTGGAGCAGACGCCCGTGCCGCCCTTACTCTAGGCTTGGGTCAGACGAAGGATCATACCGTGCAAGGTACGAACAACAGTAAATGTGTACGATGTCCTGGAAACTAATCAATGTTAGCTGCCATGAGGCTACGTCAGCTTGGGACGACACAATCTGTTGTATTCTTTGCTCCGCCTGAAGTCAACCAAAGCATTCGAGATCTACGCTCAAAGAAGTTTGACGAGACAGTGGACTCCTCCGACGTGTAAGTCGATTCTGTTTATCATGTCCTGTTACACTTCTTTGGTCGTTTATGCGTTATTTGGTCATTGTTTAGTAACTCTTATTTGATTACAGCATTCACTGGCTCATTAACAATACCTGCGATGGAATCGAGCAGTTGCAACCCCTGTATTACTCTCAAGGCATTGACTTCTGCAACCGAATGCAAGCCGCGGAGAACTTTCCAAATTTCTTAGTAGATGACGAGCATAGAGCGGCGTTCGTCAACGCTATCAGACAAACGGAACGTCAGACTCTGCATCAACTCTACGGCCCTCAAACGAAAGCAAAGAACAAGGCGCTTGTGAAATCGAATCCCAAGATCGCTTCGTTCGTCAGAAAACTGGACGCACGAAAGAAAGCCTTCCAAGACACAGGTCAGGCCGTACATGCTTCAGCGCTTCAGGAAGTTGAGCAAGAACGGCAGACCGAAAATGAGGTTGAGGCAGTGCGACAGGTCAAGAAGCCGCTGTCATACACTCCTTACAGTTTCCCTGGCCTTCACAAAGATCTGGATATCTTTGCTAAGACTGGCAGGATTCCTGCCGGCTCGGACGTATTCGTACATGTCCTAAAAGCGCTCGCAAGGACGACGCTGGGTAGGAAGTACAAAGTCAATCGCGAGATAAGCACCTCGCAACTTTTCGTATCGGCCGAGTTCGAACGCACAGTCAAGTTGGTAATCGAGTCCACCAACGATAATTTCCTGGTAAGGTCCCAGTCCCTGATTTCTGGCCGACAGTGCATTACTAACTACTCCAAAGCGTCCTGTGCAGTGGCTTTTGTACTCGTCGCTTCCTGAGGCGGCTGTCATAGTGACACCAGAAGAGGCTGAGAGCCTGATCGAAATCATGAGGGAGACTGAGAGGGAAGGCCTCGCTCGGCCAACGTATCTCCTTACTTAGTGCGTATTCCAGTCTTTTGTCCCTGTTTCTACGTTTCTGAAGAGCTACGTCTGTCTATACAGAGATATTCTTGGAACAGAAACTCCCAGCTTATGACTAAGAGCTCTCGTCATGATCTAAGGAGGACATTCGCTAACTCTTGATTCTATGTAGTGCAGCACCAGTTACTCGACGTATGATGCACTTTAACGACTTGAAGTATTACACCATACCGCCAGTTCCTGATGATTGGGTCCCTCCCGAGTGGCTCAAAACCGAGCTTGGATTCTTCGCAGGGAGACTGTATTTTGATTGGTCTGAGTACGGTAATATTTGCAGCCTTCTTGGCGTCGACATGTTTGCGCCAATGATGGAAAACGAAAGCTCCGAGACTGAGTCGACGGATCAACGAACGACTTCTGCTGTCGAAAGTTGCACCGAGGCAACCTCGGATCCTTCCACGACTCTCGACGCTACCAAGGCTATCATCCCAACTCGACTTCAGACTCACACCGCTGGTCTTACGCCGAAACCTTACACTTTCACGCAAGAGTATTTGGCCGTACGTCGTCGAGGGCAGGATTTCTCCCACACGCCCATGGGGTTCGTCTGCACTGGCAAGCCCTTGAATCATGACCATCCCTTCTTCCGGCGCGCGGAGACTACGCAGCGCGGCAAGGGCCTTGCGCCTGTCGCAACGGCTCAGGTCGACGGTGTCGACGAGGACGCAGCTGAGGACATGATGGATCTAGGCCACTATGACCCCTCGGCGGCGGTTCTGGATAACGAGGACCAGGTCAGCATCGAGTACGACGAATCGGAGATGTACCATCAGGGGGATGAGGATGAATCGGACGAGTCCGATGACGTTGAAGCCCAGCCCGTACGCACAAAGAGTGGGAGGAGAAATCGACCTGGTAATCGCAGAGGCAAGTAAAAAAATAATGGATTTGCTTGCATCTAACCTAGGCATGTCGCTCTATTGGTTGCTACTATAGGATCTTGTCGGTTTGGTTTTCGCTAATTTTCTTTGTACATATTGGTTTCTTCGCGAAGATAGGAGAGCACTTCGCTCAGTGTGCGTGTACATGTAGAGATAGCTATTTTGGTAATTGAGCTTGGTTGTAAGCTCATCCCGTTTGCGTCATTGAGCACTAAATCTGCCTGACGATATTGTTTTTTCTATGCCTTGAGTGCTTGAATAATATTTAAGCCGAAAAACTCTCGAAGCCCTCGGTTTAATTGCGGCATGATATTGATAGAATCTTGTCCGCTCGCCTGCCACTGCAGCATTATCGGCCCCTTGGGCGGAGTGTATGGATCTATATATCATTAACGATGGCTTAGATGTGAACAACTAAAGCAACGCCATCGAGTCACTGTCGTACTCAAAGCTGCCTCATCGGGTGCTGGCGTTAGCTATAGAAGTAGGCTAGAAGAGGTCGATGAAGCTGGTTTACAACCTATTTCCGTGCGATGGGTTGGTTAAGAAATAAGGGGAATTCGTTTCCTCTTATCGAGCCGCACTATTCCTACATACTACCTGGGGGGGCGGCCGCGTGGCGTAGTGGGTTAACGCCTGGCAGTGCACTGTTCTGGAGAGACAGCGCAAGGGGGTTCGAATCCCTCCGCGACCAAATAACCCCTCCCGGCTTTTACCAGTCGATAACAGGTTAGCGAAATGTCGGGCCGGTTCAGGTTTTTTCCGGACGATCGCTGACGACGGTGGTTTCTGAATCGTTCTCCGGGTTTTTCCCTGGTACAGCCGTCCGACGCAGTACATAACTAGCGCCGACGCCAACTAGCTAGTACTGCGCGATAGGGGGTAATGCTAAGGCAGGGGGGTAGAGGAGTAATGCAAAGGCAGGAGAGGAGGATTTTCTATGTCAAGCGAAACACTGGCTCTGTTCCCAATGAAGGAGTACTCCAGTCGTCCTATGCGTCACAGATACGTACTTATACTTAGGTACATACTTCGGACGTTAACAAATTCATCATCATACCTGGGGCGGCGATCCCGGAAAGGGGTATAACTGTTAGACAGAAGAACGGGAGCCAAGAGAAATACAATACACAAAGCACCTGGGCGACGTATAAATCCGATCAATCCACCACTTCAATTTCCAAGATGCCCATGTGGGGGAATCCGTGTTCTAGGATAGCATTTTCAAAGGAGATTTATGACCGCGATACGCTTCATTCCCAAACGCACTAGACAAAGTTTAACCCTCAAAGCACAGCTATGCCAATCACACATATACCACGATTCCACACTTAACCCCAGACAGGCTATATAACCCAAAATGCCCCCGATGTCCAGTGGCCGAGCTGGCGCGGCCTAGCGAAGTATCTCTATTGAGTAAATGTTCTTAGAAGGTATTCTTAGGCCTGGGGGTTCGATTCCCCCGATGGCCATCATTTTTTTTTTCCTTTTTTTTTTCTTCTTCTTAAGTCTTGGGACTGACTATTAATCACTGTTTTTATTCTGCAGTCTTCTTTCTTCATCATTGTCTTGCTCCTTTTGATCGTCGGGATGTGCCACGTGTACTTAGAGATTTCCGGGCTTTATTTTGCTCCCGCGTCCAAGATAGGAACCGCCGTGCGTAAAGGGGCTGGGTATGGTATAGAAGAAAAGATTCTGGAATAACGGTAGGATACCAAATAAGAGGTCACCCTGAATCTGGTTTGATGTTCTTGCCGATAGCTACGAGGTAGGACCAGATAAGTTTAAAACTACAAATTATCCGCTCGCCTATCCCTTAGGCCTCGGGACTAATCAATGGGTATATAATGTTGAGACTTACATCCGAATGATTAATACTTAACGTCGAGTAGAAAAAAAGACAACCTCTTTCATCGTTAGCCGATAGGTAGCGCTCAGGCGCCCTTGAACTAGAATAGCCATCCGTAAACCTCGTGCCATGGGCAGAACGACACTGTTCTTCTGTATTTCACCAGGTGCCTTCAGCTACAGTTACTCAGCACTACAGATAACGTGAACAAGTGCCGGCCCATCGATCGTGCCACTCAAACCCGAGTTCACGATAGACAAATAGTACGTATCCCATGAAACCACACGCAGAGCTACCTAGCAAATGCCTCCTCATCTACAGCTTCTTCTTGCAAACTGCGTCTAAACCGCTCTATTATTATAGCGTGGATATCCGTGTCCATGCAACCTGGTATCTACCTAATATCTAATATAAGACCAGAAGGGGGGATCTAATAAGTAACTCAATCCCAAAAAAACGCCACGCCATGCAGCCCCCCACCCAGATTGACTTGATGAATCGATCGATCGATCAATCCATCAAGCCAGGCCCGACCCGGTGTCCTTCATGTTCTAACGAAACCTCTTTCCGTGTCCCAGACGAGTCTCTCTATATGCCTTTTATACATTCGCCCGCCCGCTCGCTCGCTCGGTTGATCGCGAATCCATCCTACATGCGAATAAAGCACGCAGCATAATATAAATCCCCTCTGTTGAAATACCGAGTCCGTGGAATCCCGTCAACTCCCTTCCCATTTGAATTTTTTCTTTTTTCTTAGCACCATCTTCCCCTACATAAAGAAAACAAAACAAAAAAAAAATCTAAACCTTAACCATCTTGAACCCGACCTGGAGCCACCTACTAAGAGCGAAAAGGCACATACCCATGACCATGGCCACTCCACTAAAGAGCTGGAGGCCTAGGTAGGCGCCGCCCTGGCGGGCGAGGATGGCGCCGCCGATGGGGCTGCCGGTGAGGGCGCCGAGGGCGGAGAAGAGGAACATGACGCCGGTGCGGGTGCCGATCTCGCGCAGGTCCGAGATCTGGGCGACGCACGCGGGCGCCAGGCTGATGAACCCGCCCGACGCGAACCCGAACACGGCCCCGTACGCGATCGTCGCCCCCGCCGTCTTCCCCGGGATCCACAGCGCCAGCGTGATCACCCCCGACAGGCCCGAGATCAGGATCATCACGTTGAACCGCCCCAGCTTGTCGCCCACGATGCCGGGTAGGATACGCCCCGGGATACTAGTACGGGGGGGAGGGAACCTCGTTAGCATTTTTCGCACTGCGATTCAAGGGTCGGGGGAAAAGATGCAGGGTAGGAAGGTTAAGGAAATAGGATCACGATAGGGATAACAACAACAACAACTACCCACCTCAGCGAATTCAGAATCGGCAGCAGATAAGGCACAAGTTTCGGGTCGACGCCCTCCTGCTGCGCCTGCAGCTCGAGGTAGTTGAAGGGCAGGAAGAGGCCCCAGAAGGCGAAGAAGGAGCCGAGGACGACGCAGAGAAACGCGGGCTCGCGGAGGGGGCGGGCGTAGTCGGCGACGACGAGGGGCTTCGGACGGGGCGGGAGGCGGGCCTTGACGGTGGCGCAGGCGACGCCGCAGAGCGCGAGGAACATGAAGCCGAGGATGCGCATGGTCCAGGGGAAGCCGACCTCGGGAATTAAATGGTTGACCATGATGGGCAGGACGACGCCCCCCAGCGAGGATCCGGACACCATGATGCCCAGGGCGGCGGCGCGCCGCCGCCAGAACCACCCCATCACCGAGTTCGTCGCCGCGTTGAAGATGGCGCTCATCCCCACCGGCGCCACGATCCCCTGCGTCAGGATCACCTGGTAGAACTCGGTCGACAGCGACAGCATCATCAGCCCGAACACGTACACGACCGTGCCGATCAGGAGCAGGTACCGGGGCCCGTAGTTATCGAAGAGTCGACCCATCTACCAGCGCGCTGCACGTTAGCGTTTTTTTCCTTTTGCCCTTTTTTTTTCCCTTTCGTCTTCTTCTTTTTCTTCCTCCTTTTCTTCTTTCGCTTCTAGAACACAAACATATACCCATGCCGCGATGACAAGAAGAAAAGCGAGCAGGCCGGGTTAACGTAACTTACCACGGCGTTCAGCCCCGTCATCAGGAAGACCTGGAGCGAGGTGATCCAGCTGACGGACGAGGTGCTGTAGTGGGACAGGGGTCCCGTGACGTAGTACTGGAGGAAGACGCCGACGCAGTTGATCAGGCCGAAGGTGCAGAAGAGGGCGAGGAAGCCGCCGAGGACGACGAGCCAGGCGGCGAGGCCGCCGTCGGGGAAGTCGGCCGGGTTGAGGCCGCCGGGAGCCGGCGGTGCGGGTGGAGGTGCCAGGCCGCCCTTCTCCATGTCGGCCTCGACGACGTTCTCGGGGTCCGGGAACATGTTGGCGTTGGTGGACCCCGCCTGCGACGGCACGCGCGCGATGCTACCACCCGCCGCCTTCTCGTCGTCGAGGCTCGCCTTGCGCGACTGGTACGGCGTCGCCTCGATCGTGTCCCGGCCGCTGGTGGAGGCCGCGTACGGTACCTCCTGCATCGTGGATGAGCCTGTATCTGAGGCGGGCATTTTCGCGGATTTTTACGCCTGAGGCGGGCCTCTTTTAATAATACAGTACTCTGTCTCTGTGTTGTGTTTTGTTTGTGTTTGTGTAGTGTGTGCGCCGTGGAACTGACTGGGACAATCCCTACCAGGCGTAGGACGAGAGACAGCAATAAGACAAAAGAATGTGATTGTCTGGCCTAGACGTGATGTGGTAGTGGTGGTGGGCCAAGACAACAACGCAAGGGGGTCCGAGTATTTATTTGAGTGTTGTATAGGTACTTAAAATCAAGGACTCGGGGCACCTCGGGCCTGCAAATGGCGGCCAGGATTGCAATGGACGGCTACGATGAGACGACCAGGGTGACACATGCACATGCGAGCTCCCAGGAAACGGGTCGGGACACTGCGATCTCGGGTGGATAAGTAAGTAGGCATGTATCAGAATTACAAGACGTGGAACCCAGGGGGGAACGGGGGTGTTGCGTCAATGAGGCTCTCAGGTCTTTATATCAGCTTAAATCCGATTGTGCACAGAGTCGGGACCGAAAACAGGAAGTCCGATCTTTAAAAAATGGAGAGTCCAGGACAGATAAGAGACAAGACAAGATGACACGCGGTTGAAGATTCGACCAACCGTAAGGTGAGACAACAGATTCAGGATCTTGTTGGTGTCCGCGTTTGGAGAGGGGGGGGGGGGGGGGGGGGGCAAGGACGGAACGCGGACTCTGGAATTTTCGCTTTGTTCCGTCCGAGATTGGATTTTTTGCAGCTTGCGAACGGTGAGGCTTCGGTTTATCAGCGCGCTATTGCATGTAGGTTAGTAAGGAGGATAATACATAGCTTACGGCCTCGCTTTTTCGGAATAGAGAAGACGTATCGCAAGTCTGGATAGTGCGAAGGCCGCAGTTCAATAAAGGGTCAGTCTACCGAGTCAGTTTAATACCTACTTAAGTATCTTGGAGTCTACATCGCGGCTCCTACAACTCATATCAAGATAGTTATCCTATTAGCTACTGCCATCTTCGCATGCACCTACTCACGACTGTACTCACCAGCAGGTCTTAACGAGTACGCAGCAAGTGCCATTGGCCCGAGCAAATTTGCAGCGTGTTGAGGATGTCTCGACTCAACACCGAAAGTATTCGGTGTTAGTGCGAAAGCGCGAGACAGCGAGAGTGGCTTGCTTAGCCCACATCGAAGGAAGAAGTCTAGACTCTGCCCGGATTTTAACTGGACCATATCTGTCCATGCAAGTATCCATTGACTGCCTATTGATCCAACAAGTA